TCAAAATTCAAACCATAATGCTGTTAAACTTTTTTCTTCAGTAATTGCTGATGCCTGAATATTTACTTTTAGGGGGAAAATATAAACATTGCATTAAAGTTTGCAAGTTATAATTTGTCACATTAAAGGAAAGTTTTGTAACGCCCCAAGAAGTAGATAATTTGCAGACCTTTTTATTCCTGAATAAAACCCAATTCTTTATGCTCACCTAGCACTTATGTGGAAGAAAGGACAGACTAGTCATAAAAAATGCAGAAGAAACTGGCTTGCTTTTTACATACAATTTCCACAGATAAATAGCTTAGTAATTGACATTTTAATCTATGCCAGCTCATCATATATTGTACTTCAAAGAGCTGTATGCAACTTTTTCACAATCAATAATTCTGACAATCTGAAGGAAAAATCATATTATTTCAAATTAAGCTGTTAAAAATTAAGCCAAGAATTTCCCAGTCATGATGCCCCCACCTTGTGGTTTTTTTCTGTTCTTTAGATGGATTGTCTACCTTCCCATACAGAAGATTCAGATCATGCAGCTATTTTCAAAATTGTGTTATTTATCAGGAAATATTTTGAAAATATATTCAGGAAATAGTATTCATAATGAAGCATTTAATAGGACAAACCCCCTAAGATTATACAGACTAATTATGTAAATAAATTATGCACAGAAAACTGGTTTAGGGAAGTATATGCATTACCTTCTTAAACTGTAAAATATCATCCATATTTAGGTTTATAAACATGAGAGTTGGGAACTACTGAGTTCTCTTGGCTAAAGCCCAATATTGGCCTTATTTCAGTTTAATTGGAAGAGGATCTTGAATTCATCTTCTCCATGAGATATCAGGAACCAGGATTTCTGTTTGTACCAAAGGTTAATAAGAAATGTGTCTGCAAAAGTCAAACAGCATTAAATACCAAAAACTGATTATTATTCTGCAGGAGTTGTTCTGTCATTCATAATCTCTCCATGCTCCAACCTTCCACAGCTAATCTTTAATGGATGACATGCAGGAAAGAAAAATAACATCTAAAAAGGGACTCTAAAGTGAGCTTTGAAGAAATGGAAAATACTTTTCTTCTGTGCTGAAAGTTATTGCCACCCAAAGTTTATTACTGGCAAGATTACTTATTTCCTCTCACTTTATGGATATTAAATCAAATTAACTCTAAGCTAACAGCCACTTGGATATTTGTTTTTACTTTTGCTATTAAATCTATTGCATATGCATATTCAGTAATTATTTTTCAAGTTAATTTAGAAAACTTCAAATAATGTTCATGAATATTTCCACACCATATTCAAGAATTCCAAAATACCATGAATGTATATTCACAACATTTTCATAAAAACAGATCCGAAATAGGGACTTCATTGTAGGTATATTGCCCTAGTTTCCAAGAGACTGAAAGTTGTATGATATATACCACCATGTTAGAAGCATTGCTTTCCTCTTTTTCCACACTGTATTTCCTATCATTACCTTGGTCTTTCAGAGAGCATCTACAGTTCTCAGGCAATAAAAATGGTGTGAAATCCCTAACAGGGCTGGACTCAACCTTGCTGAGCTGATGTTGATTTAAGAAAGTATTAAATTTTGGTGACATTATTATTAAGATACTGGCATAAAAAAACCCCAACTCATGGAATAGCTGTTGCTACAGAAAGATTTAAGCATAAGTATTTTTATTTTATTTTGTTCAGAATTATTCTTAGTCTCAATATATACTCTGATAGCAACAAAAATATTCCAAGAGCTCTGTTTCTGATGCCAACTATCTTATCTTGCTGCAGTAATGGCACTGTGAGAACAGGGCTTTGATATTTTTTCCAGTCTACTACCACTATGCTCTATAACTCTCCCTTACACTCTACCAGCTCCTTCCTCTATAAGTTCATATATATATCCCCTGCTTAATTCTTCCATTAGGAAAAAATGAAGTCATTTACTACATCCATCCAAAGTGAGATCTGATCTTTCAGCTCGGTTTTTTGAAGACTCACTCCTTTGCAATGCCTCCATCTTGATTTTTCAGTCTGTCCTCGGAAGATGTATGCTCCTTCCCCTTTTCACTCCCACAGGAGACACCCATTCTCTTTTCTGCTCAACATATGAAAGTTCTGCACACCCAAATTTCAGATCTGGCTATTCTTCATACCCGCTTCCTACGTGGTGTTCTCTTTTTTGCTTACGCTATCCTGGTGTCTGTTCTTTTATGATGTCTGCTTCCCTGGCTTTTCCAGATGTTGCCTCCACCTCTGTTCTTCTTCATGAGAGGGAGTGAAACTAACAGTAGCTTCTGATGTCGGGTCAGAATGACACAAAATCCAACAGAAGAATAATGAATAAGCTACAGGAACCTGTGGTTCCTATGTCCACCAGAAACAATAGTCTCTAATGCCTAAAAGTCTTAAATCAAAACTTTAAATTCTCTAATTTTCTTTAGCCATAACTAGCTGACATAGAGATAGGGATCCAAGGAAGTTTTAAAATATGTTTTCAAGGCTAGCTAACAAAATTTAAAAATTAAAACATTCTGAAAATAAGTTATTTACTTCATACAGTATAATACTTTTCTTCCATCATGTTTATCTTCTGCTTTAATTCTACTTTTTCTTCTTTTCTCATGAAGTATTGCACAAATTTACCCTTTTTTTCTTTACTTTTTCTTTGAACAATTTAAAAATCACAAAATGACAGTCTTTGGATTATTTGTTTCTGTAGACTGTTGTAGCTTCATTTCAAAATGCCCTTTGTCTTCACTTTTCAATTCTTTCCATGAGGTAAAACCTATCAATTAGAGGGTTACCTTTCAAAACAGAATTCTAATATTCCTCAAAGTAGATAACACTTTTATGGTGTACCTTTCTTATGTTCTTTACAATATAATTTTGTGGAGTCACTTACTTATCATAAAGTCAGTACTAAGTAATAATAAAAATGCAAACACCCATATTTACAAGCTTCACTATACCATGTGTTATACACACTGCAGTAATTAAACATTAACTAGTAACCTGAAATTGCAGCAGCATGTGTTCTCCCTTCCTCAAAGAACTTAATGCAGGGGGATAAGTTTTTCCTTGAACACACCGTCTGTTCTTTATTAGGTTCTGCTTGTCCATTAGAACTCTCCCCAAGGCTTTTATGAGAGAGACACACACAGGCTTCCACAAATCCAGTCTGGCTCACATAATTCCAGATTTTAAACCATTTATCCAAATTTGGTAACATTCTTAGAACTGTAAGACAGGAAGCAAAAAAAGTGTGAAGTATTAACAATGCTTCCTTTTGGGAAACAGTTTAAGTAGTAAAGTAGCCTCTTGCCCTCTCTCTTCAGCATTTAAAGGATTTTATACTTCCTGTACTCATAAAAGGAGAAAAAAAGATTATTTTTTAAAGGTCATTGTTATTTCACTATGTAGCTGTCTTTAAAATTTGGTTTCTTCTTCCTTTAAAAACAGAGTAAGCATGTTAAATTATTATTTCCATGCCAATTATATTCATGCCACTCTGTTTTGAAGAAAAAATATGCTTAGGACATCAATAGAAAGTTTAAGCAGTAGTGTAGGAAAACAACAATTTCCTAACAAGTATTTCAACCATATCCATAAAAACAAAACTATCTGTGTTTTTGACACACCTTTCTTTCCAGGTTTTAATGAGCAATGAACACCTCTACCAAAGAGAACCATGTACAGAGGTAAAAACACTGGGCAAATATCCAGGAACAAACTCGAAACTTCATATTCAAGCCAAACAATCTGCGTTAGCTTTCGGCTGGTGGATATAACAATGACACACACATAGTGCAGATTCTTCTTTTGTGTGAAAATAAAGCAAGCAGTTATGTGAAATTAAATAAGAGTAAAAATTATGCCTGTATTTAATTTTTTTCCTAAGATGTTGATTAGATTTGACTTTCCCTTCCCCCATCAAGAAAATCTAGGAACTCTCTTTTCCATCTATAATATTCACACTATACCATATTCTCAGGAGTTTGTTATTAAGTGGAATGTCAGCCATCTGTTTTTCAGCTAGAGAGTTTATTATCTGCTCCATTTTCCTGAAGACAGTTACTCCTCCCTTTAGTAAAAATATTTTGGGGACAGCTATTAGTACTATTAATACTCTATGAAGTGTGTGTGACCTATGAGGCAACAATTTTACCAAGCTAACTCTTTCTTTCTGAACAAATGATTCAATGAATTTATAAAAGCACTCCCATTAATGTTTTTTAAACACCTTCATGAAAACCTGAGATTATTTTTCATCTACGGGGTACACTGTATACACAGTCACTTTTCAATAATAAGAATGCCCAGCTTTATTACATTAGCAGTTTCCACAAGCACAGAATACAAACTGTCTCCATGCTTGTATGTCTATCCAAAGAACAATTAACAACAAATATAAGCACATGTTCACTTTCAGATATAAACTGAAAAACCTTTCCTTCTGAGAATTCATATAAACTTAATTCACTGGATATATGGCATCATCTGACAAAAATTCATTTTAACTACCAAAAGAGCAGATTTTTCAAGAACAGCACAGGTCCCTGGTTGAGGTGAATGTGAGACTATCTCCAAACACGGAGAGGGGGTAGTATTGCTCTGAACCAGCTAAAACAATAAGTGGTATTTGAACTGCTGGTTGAAAGGTAGAGGCACTGGTAATCATTATTTCCCCTTGTTTGTTCAGGACCTTCCAACAAAACAAACAACCTTTTTGTGATTGGATTGACATGGTGTTAACAATGCATTTAATGCCCAAATCAGTTTGAATACAGGTAAAGCTCCTACTAATACCAGTACCAGGATGTTAAAGCCATCTATTTTCTAAGCAACTCTAAACAGCCACACATAAAAAAAAAAGTCAAATCTTCCCTCCTTTAGCAAATAAAGCTAACATTCACTAGGACACGTCATATAGCAACCACGGGTACTGTATGAGCCATACAGCCATCTGTTAAACGCTTGCCTACTGTACCTGCAATCCTTTCTGCAATCTTAGCTTCTGTAGCTCTGTCTTGCAATTCTAAGTCCAGTTTCATTGTCTTCAGCTCCTTGTCCTTTTCAGCCAGCTTATCTTGAAGCTGGAATTGAGCAAGTGGACAGTAAAATTCTTATCTGGTTGAAACTGTCAACAAGTAATTCAACCACAATAAAATTGCAAACAACGATTTCTCACCCCCAAAATACAAATACTAAGCATTAAACCAGAAGTTCAATTTATTATATTTATTTGTTTAAAGAACAAATGTTAAGAATACGATTTTTAACATCTGGCCTATCTTGCTCCGTGAGACAAGTAGCAATGCACATGCCATTGTTTTTATTTGTGATTCTCTTCCTTGGGTTTCACCAGCTGTAGTCCTTCTTGCTGAGGAAGTTCAGAATCGCATGGAATATAATGTAGCTTGTTGCATTAATAGCCTGTTTCCTACCAAGATACAGACATCACAGTCTGAAAAGACTGGTGTAAATGCATATTTTTCATATTCTTCATCAGATGGAAGATTGGTATTCTTTCACATATCAAGGCCTTTCTTTTAAAGGGTATTTACTAAATCTGTTTTTGGACAGATATCTGAACTTGAATATTCAATTACACTTCATGGAAAGACTAGAGACTGTTAGATTTTTTTAGGCACATGCAACCACAGCTAACACTAAAAGCAATGCAGTGTTCAAGGAAGATGGAATTTTCTCCCCTTCAATAAAGCTGAGTTATCAGGGCACATTAATTGGATTTCACCCATGAAATCCTGGTCTAGTCTTTGGTTTTCATTGGTTTCCATCCAGGATGCAAGAATCTATTTCACTGATCAAAAAAGTCAGAGAGTAGGTTGGAGGGTTTTTTTTAATTCCAGAGAAATAGTTGTTAAGCAAATACTAAAAATCCAAAATTACAGGAAACTAGTGATTGGTGCACTAAAATAAATAACAAAACTAAATCAGACACAGTTTAAAATGTATGTTTTGCAAGGCAATTATAAAAAAGCAGATATTGGTATCTTGAATATCTTAATTGTACCTTTTTATTTTTGGCCCTCAGAGTGTCCAATTCTTTTAAAAGGAATGCAGTTTCTGTTCTTCCACCTAAATCTTCAGCATCATTCCATGAGGATATAAATTCAGGGAGCATCCTGCTATCCTTTCTTTCTACACTGCTGCATTTTTGAAGAGAAAAAAAAATAAATGAAAAATAATTAAAAAAACAGTTGCTGTTCCACCCCTCTGAAACAAAATGCAGAGAAATAAATTATCAAAACTTGTTAACAAACTTGTTAACCACTGCAAATGTATTAAATAGAAAAAATGGATGCCCTTCTGCCACTTCTTAAAGCTGTAATTCTGAAAAGAATCTGCAAATCTGGAATAGTAAATAAATATCCTACAGTACTAAGGCAAAAACCAGATGAATATAAATGGGCTATGAAGCCTATAAACAGCAAATGCTTAAGGAAAGCAAATACTAAAACCCATTGTTAACACAGAGAAAACAGCAATAAAACATTTGGGGTCAAAGTGATGCTCAGGTCTAAGCAAACCAAATTTTTTTGTAGAATGATTCCACAGGAAGTGATATGAAAATATCCATTAAAAATCTAGGAATTCATCTTGAAGAAATCTGTAAAATGATGGTATGATTCTAAATATTATAACTGACAACAGGATTTCCATACTGTATGTCACCTGGAGTTTTAAAATAGCCATAGACAACTTAAAACAAGACAAGATTCAACGGCCAGAAAAATTCTCTCAAAGTAAGACTCTCATAAAACTTCTTGAGTATCCATTGATACTCACAGATTATTCAGATCTCATTTGTAACATGGCAGCAAAATCAGTACATGAATGATTAGAAAGGAACTAGCAAATATTTATAACATTTGCTTTCTTTAAGCATTTTCTGGTTATACATTTCATAGCTAATAACCAATAAGAAGTAGCCACAGAAAAGCTATACCCTCTGAACTCCTGCTTCCACTGTAGACATTACTTTATTTGTAATTCACATCCTAGAAATATAAAGAAAGCTATCTATTGCTCCAAAGAGTCATTATCTTAGGCAGACAGTTTTCTGTACTCAGCCACCCTTTTTTCACCTGCTTCCATTGTATTTATTTTCTCCTCCCTTCTCCTTAAAACTAAAAATGATAAATCACATTGACAGTACCAGGACCACCATCTAAAACACAAATCAACACTAACTTAACATTTCCTGGATTTTTCTGTATCAAGAAATATTAACATATATTCTAATTAAAATCTATTTGGGCAAAGACAGGTTTTGGCATATAGCTTTAGGATCCTACATATAACATACATGGAGCTGCTGATGGTTCAACATGATGACTGCTGTGGGAGGTTAATCTTGGTGTTCCAGACAAGCCTGATTGTCAGTGGGACTGGTGCTGGTGAAAGGTAAAATGAACAATTTTTGGGTGACTCTGTGCTGGGCTGTACCTAAGCAGTCTGGATTATACTTGGCATTTAGTGCAGGATGCATTGCCCTTACAGCAAATCTCAGCTGCTAATGCAAAAAGGCAAAAAGGAAAAGGAAAAAGTCTTAAGAATTTGGTTTGGCCCAAACAGTCACCATTAGATCATAATGAAGATAGCAAAACTGGGTGTAGAATCTGCTAGACGGGTGAGGAATCAGTGTATTTTTCAAAAGTATGTAATAGGGCTTTGCAACCTTGGTCCCATTTTCAAAAACAACTCTCACACTCTCAGTTGAAAATTAGTATTCAGACTGCCTAAGTCACTCAAAACTGTTAGCATGTTCCCTAACCAGTAAGCTAGTCAAAGGTACAACTAACCAGCTACTTATACCTTTGTACATTGTGTCACATATAGAATGAGTGTACATATTTCTTAAGACTCTTATAAAGGGCCACTGCTCAGTTAAAACACTAGTGATAAGAAATGACCAAAATTATTGACACAATAAAATCTTCAGAGTCTGTATTAAACTTCTCAATCATATTAGCCAGTGCTCAGATTCCTGTCACAGACTGCTACAAAATACTACAGCTTCTCATCTTCACTCTTCCAGCTTCATCTGGACTTCACCCTGCTTTATTCCTGCTTCCTACTCACTCATCACATTTCAGGTGCTTGTTGTATAAAGCCACAGATACTCCTAGGTTTTCAAGATCTGTTTTTTATTCTGTTCAACATGCACCTTCAAAATTCTCTGTAGAGATCACAATCATTGAAATACCCACAATGTGTGATATAAACCATTCCAGTGATCATGTATTCTATGAGTGCTAAAGAATACAGAGGTGAAATGCTACATTCCACAAGGGAAGAAGGGCAGATAGGGTGATTCTAAGTAAAAAGCTGACTTACTGATTGTCATGTGGGAAGCAAATTTCCCTATATTTATTCAAAAAACATGTGTATATTGTCAATAATTTGAATCTAGAAAAATTATATAGAGGGATATTTTCTGGGTTTACCTTGATTCTTCAGAACCAGAATTACAGTTAGGTAGGACTCCTCCTCTTTGACTGGTTACTTGCAAATCTGAAAGTTTCGGTGCTTCAGTTTCTGCCTGGATAAAAAATCCTGTGTGTTTTTGAGAATTCTTATAAAACTGAAGTTCAGCACAAAAGTCTTTTTTCTGATCCAACATGTATGTTTCTAATTGGGAAGAGAAGCAAACACATTTTCTCATTTGGATAACGAAGCACAAATTGAGATTTTTTTATTTGAAAATGGCTTGTTATAAGAATATAATATAGTAGTAGAAAGGAAAAAGTGATTTAGTTTCAGATTCCCAACTTCTTTGTCCCTTCACTAAGGAATGAGACCTGTTACCTACAGCATGGATGGATGTAGGTAGGAATTACAACCCATTTACTGGATTTTTCTCAGGGAAACATGAAAAACTCATCATCATTTCCTACGCCCTCCTCCCTCTTAAATGACTTCTTAAAATAATGCTGACTGTAGAAAATTATTTACCTATCTCTTACAAAATTCAGCTCTACTATAGTGAGATATGATGAATTTCTGCTATAGAGAGGGAAAATTTTAGGTTATAACTAGACTCTTATAGTGAGGTTCCTTTCAAATCCATTTTGGCTACAAAAGGAGTATCATCAAACTGTAATTAGTAACAACAAATTTAAAGCACCATTATTCACTCCTGGAGAGTGTGAGGTACAGGCTCATACAACTAAAGAACTTGAAGAATGCAAAGCAGAAATTGTGCCAAAGGGAAAATTTATCTGATTAAAATGTTGAGTGTGATAGCTAGTTCTCTTAGCTTGGCTACTAGATATTTTTAGGACATACTTCTGATATCAAGGCATTTAAATGAAAGAAAGATCCACATACCACGAATGCTCTTTCATAAAGTAAGAACAAGTACCTTTTAATTATAGAATTATATTAAAAAATGAGAAGGAAGCAGCCTAAAACCACTGGAAATGGAAAAAAGGTGCATATATTTTTCATTCTTTCATTTAGATTAGTAGAGAACAAACATTGGAGCTTTTGCTTATTTAATAAAGTTAGTGTTTCCAAACGTTTTGGATAAAATATCGGGCATATATTATTTGATCCACCTTATAACATCCTCCTCAAAAATAGTAAAACTGTCTATACAGTTGAAATCAAGTAGAAATAGACCAAAATCACAAATCAATGACTATCATGTGGCCATCCTGCAGGTAAACACAGCTGTAAGCACAGTTTCCAAGTAAAAAATACTGAAAACTGTTTATCAAGTGTATTGCAACAGATTCCTCTTTCCTTAAATGAGGAAAGACACAAGATCTCAGGCAACAGCCCAAGGGCCCCAAGAGATGACTTGGGAATTGGCTGGAGTCAGTTTAACAACTTCCAATATGAAGCTATGTGTTACCACCTCCAGGAAAAAAGTTATGGGACTCACTGCTCATCTGTATTCTCTGCATCCACTTCAGCACAAACTTATTTGAATCCACTCTAACCATTTCTGTAAACTGCAACCACTGATCTTTACACTAGATTAAACAACAATCAACAGAGTATCAGCATCTTTGTCTTTTGATAAGTACAATACTACTTTCAGTACTGTGACTGAAATATGTTCCTCATAACATTTCACACCTAGTGCAGAAAGAACACAAGGCACAGACACCTGGATTCTTCAAAACAAGTATATGCTGTTTCCACTGGATTGAAATCCTGCAGGTTTTTGAGCAGATTTCCTCTGAAGTGCTGCTACATCTAAAAACTATATTTGATCTCTTACTCCTCCTTATAGTAGGGAGCAAGGATCTCTAAAGAAATGTATGTTAAAAAAACCCCACCAAATATACTCCAAGAACCTGACTCAGTTTGGGAGTGACAATATGTAAGGGCAAAACTTTGAATCCTTTCCAGTAAGTACTACCTGAAAACTAACCTAGTCTGAGTTTCCATACTTGCAAAGCATTTTATAGGGAGTTGTGTTTCCCATTTGATTTATATTATAAAGAACTTCCTATGAAATATCCTGTTCACTTCTCCTGTTTCAGACACAGTGTCTGTATAAATGCAGTTGCAAATTATGCTCCAGGGGATGTGCAATGCTTCACTTGCCATGACAACTTTTCCTCCTCCTCCTCTTTGGGCATCCACTTATTCTATAAGCTATATATATATTTGAAGTGCCTCAAGCAAAGTGTGTCACACTCTATGGAAGAATTCAAGCACAATGTATATCTGTTGAAATAACCAGTGACAGTATTGCCAGGAAGCTTTGTTCTTTGTTTAGCATCATGGTACTCTACTTTGGCCCTATGAAAGTTGGAGAAGAAAAATCTCACTTCAGAGAGCTAAGAACTTTAGATGATGTTTTAGGCCGCTTCTCCTCCCTTAGCATGAGAGCGAGTTTTTATTCTTTTCACAGTTCCTGTTTTATTAATTTGCTCCTTTCATTCCAGGATTTAAGAAGTGACCACAGAAGAGTCACTGAAGTTGGCAGAGACCACTGGAAATCACCTTTCTGGCACCTCAATCATTTTTAACTGGAAGTTGTCCCCAGCCACTTCCAGATCACCCGAGCCCTGCTGTTGTCCTTTCAGCAGATCATTAACATCACTGTAGTATCCCATGAAAACCTGGACCTTTGAACATGAGAGTTCTTCCAATTCTCTGAAGAAGGCCTCACCTACTTACTCAACCCTCCTCCATGCCCCTCCCTCTTAAGAGAAGGATCAAGGCAAACACCACCTGGGCTCCCACACCCCGATCATCATGCCTGGAGCCATACAGTCACATGCAACACTTCCCAGGCCATCCCTGCAGTATCACTAATGCCTACAGAGAAGAGCAGCATGGAGTAAGAGGGCCGGATGAGCATCAGCAGGCTTTCTGTAACATTCTGAATATGAGCTGTAAACAAGAAGAAAAGGTCTCTAGATGACAGGTCAGTTCAGAAGGCAGATTTTTATTTTTAAGACCAGAAGTGAACATGGCTGCATGATGAGGTAAATATCTGCATTAGCAGTTACACTTCTGATAAATCCTTGGGCCATGTCAAGATAAGTGTTTTTAACTGTAAATTACTGCAGCTAAAGAAAAAAAAAAGAGAATTTAGAATAGTACTAGAACTGTGTTAGTATTTATTAATGCTAATGCTGCCTCTTTAGACAACATTCATTTGCAGGACACCTTTTCATCCAGATTCAAATCCCTCAAGCACATGGGTAAGACTAAGTAGCATCACAGGAAGGCTGTAAGTGGCATTCTTGGAAATATTAGGTGAAACACAGAGGATCTGTCTTTTCTCCACTGGCTTTTAACAGAGAAGATGATGGCAGCCTCTTCCACCCAAACCTGAAAGCACTCTGCCCACGGGCATTAAGGTGAGAGGTTTTTACTCATTTAATAAAGCTGTAATGTTTTTTTTTAATCAGCATGCAAAATTTGTCAGTAGAATGCTTTGGGGAAGACATTTTGAACACTGTCAGATCAATGGACATAGGACTCAATTTATTTTTAAAACCACTTTGTTCTTCATACAGCCCATGACCCCCACATCAAATAATTTATGCTTTGATACATGGTAGCTTGTCTTGTTGCTAAACTAAGTAGCAATTTTAATACATGCCCTTCAGTGCTTTTTTGCTCATGCCTCCTGCAAATCGTATCGTGCACTAATTACCAATGCTGCAGACACACACTGGGGAGTAAGTAGCATTTGCAATAATCAGACTGCACAGGGAACATCAGAGAAAGGGTAAAACAGCCCTGCAAGCTTTGGAAAAAATTATGTAGATTTCATTAAGTGGTACCACCACTGCTGATTCTGGTTCTTGAGTATACTAAACAAATTTTTTTCCATATAAAATGGTACAAGTTCAGTAGCCCAGATTAATATTTCACTATAGGGAGAAGCTGAACAGCTGATCTTCTGTATGTATTTATCTTGAATGAATAGCTTGTTCACATTGCGGGAAAGAAAAGCAAATGTTAAGAAGAAGGAATATGAAGACACTAGAATTAAATCTGGGAATTGATTGTGAGGGACGTTAGGGGAAGATAATGCTGTCATGGCTGGAAACAGTAAAGGCAGAACAGAATTCAATGTTGTTAAGCTGGGAGTGGTTAAAAAGTCAAGTAAAAACATTAAACACGTCATACTGTGCAGACACCCACTATTCCTCACAGCTTCTTCTGAGAAGTGGGGGATAAGTACCGAGATCAGGGAAAGCACAGCATTAGAGAATCCCACACCAACAGTGATAAATGCACAGAAGGTGCAGATTCAACTGGAAGACTGAAGAGGCAATAGCATCCCTTGTTGCGCCACTTAGCACATTCAGCTGTCCCATCATCCAGCAGAAACTGAGTGGACACCCCCTTCCCTCTGTCTTTCAGCACCCTACTAAAATGCACTGATCACCTCAGAGGTTTGCAGGGAAATCTCCACAGAATAAGAGTAAGGGAAAAAAAACCCAATGGAACACGCACACAGGCTACGGATTTGGTTGCAGATAATATGGGGACACTAGAAGCTCCAGGTGCACCAAATCAGCTTCAAGTGTAATAGTACTTATGGCTTGCTACCTATAGCTTACTAGTATTTGTTTTAAGCTGGTCTGTGGCATGTACATAGTGTGTTCTCATCTGTCTGCAAAAGACTGCATGAGGGAACCAACCCCTAGCAGGATGGCAGTAAGAGGCATAATAAGAAAAAGCAAAAGCAGAAAGGAAGAGAATGAGCCATAGACACCCCGGTAGCAGGAGCAAAGATGACTGCAAATTCAGTAGCTATGACACTGTGACACTTTCAGATTAACTACATTTGAAAATATGTAGAACAAAACATTGTGCTGTATTTGAGGTAGTCAACCTCAATTAATAAAAGCCTCCAGAATTCCTCCTGTTAATCATAGAGTCATAGAATGTTTTGGGTTGGAAGAGACCCTAAAGATTATCTAGTTGCAATTTCGCTGCCCTAAGCAGGGAGGCCACCCATGAGATCAGGTTGCCCAGGGCCCCATGCAGCCTGGCCTTGAAAACTTCCCAGGACAGGGCATTCATAAATTCTCTAGACAACCTGTTTCAGTACCTCATCACTCTGTGGGTAAAGAATGTCTCCAAGTATCTTACCTAAATCTCTCCTCTTTTAATTTGACACCGTTTCCCCTTGTCCTATCATCTAC